TAACATTGAGGGCAGTCCTGGATTTTTAAGTTTGAGGGAGGGTGTGAAGAGAATTGACCATGTCTAGGAGTCAGTCTGAAGTTCTCTGTTTTTAGGTCTGTATCTTGTTTTGAGTCTTTTCTTTTGGGCTCTTGCCCTGTTTTTCTCTGTTTTTTTGTGTTGCTATGTTTTTGTGTCCCTCTTTGTGATCGAGTCAGTTTAGTCTTTTTGTGTCTAGGTAAGTAGAGAATGTACGCTTAGTAGATAGTCAAATGTCGAGGATGAAACATAATTGAGGTCTACATTTGGCTGAACACTTGTTTGAAAATCACTTGATCATCTCAAAAATTTGCTTCCACTTCCTCATGTCAAAGAGTCACGTGACAAAGAGTTGTTCTGGACTTAAATGCTTAAAATTAAAAAAAATTTCCTGCATTGCTATGATATAAACTGGAGCTCACTTGTCTGTTAACCTTGGAGAACTGTAAATCTGGATAGAGATTAAGGCAATCCCTACGCACTATGGCAATCTCGAATTGCACCCATAGTGATTTGAAATAGCCTGAAATACCTGGGAAAAGGGGAAGTTGGTGGATTAAACTGAGGTTCTCTGTTTAGCTAATTAAGGGAGTATAGGTAGAATGTCTAAATAAGCCATTATAAACCCTTTAGAGGTGAGGCATGGCAACTAAAGAGAGGAGTGTCCTTGATAGCAATCCCTGATAAAACCAATCTTTAAGAAAAGACCAACTTTGCTAATTCGGAAAGTCAGAGATTTGTAGGCAGCGGAATTTTGGAAAATTCAGATTTAAAGACTCTAGAACACACGAAAACAAAGAAAAGAAAAGATATTTGACCTCACGTGGATCAATTCACGAGTTCAATGGTAGAAAAACCCAAATCAAAAATGAAGAGAGCTAATTCTAACCAAACAGAGACCCTTTGGAAAATTGTGTAAGAAAACCCAATAGATATGAGATCTATGAGCCCAAATACCAAGATTCGAAAGATCCAATGCTAAAGACGCCACTATCAAGCGAACTAAACAAGATAGATAAGTCTAACAATTGTCACAACACATATGCAACAACCAAACAAAGAAGTCCTCACAAGAACTCCACGAAAGGAATAAAATCCTAACCAATTTCACTCAGGAAAATATCAATGACACAAAGGTGTCTTGGACAAGAGGATTTCGGTCCCTATATATAAAGGGGTGGCCGAAATTTCTTCCCTAGAAGTAGAGGAAGAACACAACTCTTCACCTCTATTCCTATCTCTAAGAATCTGAAATGAAATCAAACTCTAAAGACTCCTAGTTATCTTAAGTGATAAGATAACGAACCTAGACACTTTTACTAGTCTTAAAACATTTAAGACTTGTAGGAATTAATTAAAACTCAAAATACAAAGAGATAATCTCTTAGAAAGATTCCAATGGATAGAATCTCCCTTGAGTTAAAACTCTATCATCATCTTCTTTGTAGAGTGATCTTAGCCATCCATCTTGATGTAGTCTTCATCCAACGGTTGAGTAGACATCAAAAGCTGACTCCTTATTGTAGGAAAATTCGAAAAACAAGATAAAAAGAATCATCCCAAATATTATCCTTTAAAGAGATAAAAGTCTTCTCTTTCAAAGAGATAAAATTTGAATGATCTTACCCCTAAACTTTAGGGAGCAATTCGACCAACATGAGGAGATGTGGCCGGTGGTCCCTTTGAGGATTGAGGGCCGAAATTCTTCTCTCCAAATGGGCCATGTCCATTTGGTGTTACTTGCAACAAATTAATAGTCTTGGGCTTGTAATCTTCAAGCTTAATTTCCTCCTTAGCCCATGTAGTAACAATTAGACTATTAAGTGATTCATTCATCCTCTTGCGTCTAGCACGAGTCATTGGTCCAACAATGTTTGAGAGTGGATCACGGATGTAAGGATTATTCTTTAAAGCAGCATCTTTAGATTCTCCATTAGCATTCACGACCTCAACTTGCTCGTCCTCTCCATTATTGGCAGCAACATGTCCTTCTCCATTAGTGTTAGCTAGATGGTCTCCATCAGTCCTCAGGCTTGGTGAGATGAAAAATATAGATGCTTAGAATACTAGAAAGTGCTGAAAAAATGTGTGTGATAAAGGCCTAAATGGGAAAGATTCAAAAAAAAAAAAAAAAAAAAACCAATATGGGCAGTAGGAAAGGGTATGAGGATTAAAGATGCAGCCAATGTACTAGTAGTAAACTGAGGAAGCCCTTAATCTGAATTCCAGTTCGAATACCCTAGTTGCAGATTTGATGGAAATAGGTACAGATCTAGGAATGTCTACTGTACTGAAATGAACTTAACTTAAGAAGGAAAAATAAACACTCCGTTCTTTGTCTGTCACTCATTTGTGGAAATGAGTTTATGTCTTACCCAAGTGGGTTTTGAACTATAGTGTACATATGTCTCTATTGAAACCTGTTTCTGGGACAATCTTTTTTATTGTTTTCTTTGCTGCATTCTTTGGTTTAGAGTCAGTATGGGGGGGAGGAGGGTAGATATTATGTTTGCTTGAGGACAAGCAACTCTTCAAGTTTGGGGGAGTTGATGAGTACATTTCGTACTATGTTTTTAGGAACATATTTTACTCTTTATGCTTTAATTATAGGTCAATTAGGCTAGGATTATAAGTTTATAGGCTAATTTGGTTACTTGTAGTAATCTAGGGGTTGAAATGCAATATGAGCAAAAAATTTGTCAAAATGTTGTAGAATGGCGAAGTTTTGGGCCAAATTAGAAGAAGTTACAGGGACCAATGTGCAAGGACTGAAGAAGAGGAAGAATCCGGCAGGAAGAGAGCCAAATTGGAGGAAACCTTCAAAGCTAAAGAAGAAGAGCCGTTGGTGAAGTGATTGATGTGCCTTGAAGCTGATTATGCAACCAAATCCTTCTAAAAGATGATTAGAGGTTAGGGGGAAATTGGAAGAAGTATGGGTCTCCTCTCTTTTGCGTAAAACTCATCGGGTAAAAAGGAGACCAACTTGGCTAAGAAAGATCTCTCCCCCAACCTCTATAATAGGCAGCAGCAGCATGAAGAAGAAGGCATCGAAGAACACCATATCCAAAGTAGAAGATTATATAGTGTAGTTTAGTTAGTAGTGTAGAAATAGAGTACAACTCTGGAAGGTAGATTCAGTGGTGTCTCTTGGGGAAGTGAGAAGCTGATTCTGCAAAGTCAGCTACACTTTACCACACTCCCTGACTTTACTCTTCCCATGTTTTCTGTACTATTTATTGTAGCCATATATAAGTCTCAACACTTGGAATTTTTAGTGTTTAATCTCCTCTCCATGAGTAGCTAGACTCATTTTCTAGGGTCTAATCCCGCTACTTTGTATAAGTATGTTTGGATTCATGCTCTCCGATGATATTTGTATGCATAGTTTTAGAGTTTTAATTATTCTTTCAGATTGAACAGGCCATTCAAACTAATTGTGATTGCATGTTAAGAGAATCCCAGAAGGTTAAACTTAACTTAGAACATCTAAGATTAACCGGTGACGAGGGGGTAACAGCCCAAGGTTTCAGACAACAACGGAAGTTAGTTGTTTGGCACGAGTCAATCATAAGGGCCGAAGATCTTAATGGCTTAGTAGTAATTCAGAGTCGACAACGGAAGTTAGTATACTTGTTACTATTAGGACTGCTATCTGGACCAATCGAAAGTGGCCGTATAGTGTTTATGTGCGTGATTGAATACAGTTTCATACCACGTAAAAAGCTAAAAGAATCAATACATATGTATATAGAGTAGAGTGGAGGACGACCCGAGGATACTATCACTTTGCCAAGACATAAACTCACATGCCAATCTGCTGTGTTTGCTTTTGCTTTGTGTTCTTGTTCTCGATCCCAATTTTCATTAAGTGTTTCTGGTCTCTGTGGGATCGACCCTTCTTATCAATTACTATAAGTTTTAAACAGGTTTATTTTAGTGGTCTCGACACCCATCACTACCCTAAACCTCTAAACACTAAACACACTATACTTTTTATTCATTTTGAATTTTTTTTAACGAGACTCTAGCTTAGTTAAAAAAAAATTATAAGTTAATCATATCACGTCATGCACTAGACTCTAACCTGATTGAAATGTTTAAACTCTCCTAAACCCCTAAATTCTAATCACTACACCCTAACCTAATCAAAATGCTTAAACCTTCCTAAACTCTAAACACTAATCCCTAGACCCTAACTTAGTTGAAATGGTTAAACTCCTACTCTAAACACTACACACACTATACCTTTATTCGGTTTAAAATTTTTTAATTCAATAAACGAGACTCTAGTCTAATTGAATTTTAAAACAATTTATCATGTTTCGGGACACACTAGACCCTCACACAATTGAAATGCTAAAACCCCCTAAACTCCTAAATACTAAACACATTATAATTTTTATTTGGTTTAAATTTTTTTAATTTAATTAGGTTGGGTTCTGGTCGAGGCTAACTAAATTAAAAAAGATAATACCTTAATTATATTACACCACACACTAGACTCTAACTTAATTGAAATGCTTAAACCTTCCTAAACCCTTAAACCTGAATCGCTAAACCCTAACCTAATTGAAATACTTAAACCCTCCTAAACCTAAACACTAATCTCTAGAACCTACCCTAATTGAAATGTTTAAACCCACTAAACTCTAAACACTATACACGCTATGCTTCTTATTTGTTTTAACTTTTTTTTTTAATTCAATTAGGCTCGAGATCCTAGCCTATCATGTTACCTCACACACTAAACCCTAACCTAATTATCTTTTTTCATGAACCAAAATTCATCTAAAAAGATGAAATGTTCATGTCACGAAACTAAAATATTCATTGCAGTAACCATAATTCATCAAACATAATTCTGCAGATCACATTAATATTATACTCCTAAATATGCTATAGTTCATCTTAAAACATGAAATATTCATGTCACGAAACTAAAATGTTCATTACAGTAACCATAATTCATCAAACATAATTTGCAGGAAATCACATTAATACTGTATTTTTGAATAAACTATAGTTCATCTAAAAACATCACCTGTTCATTGCACGAAACTATATTATTTCAATTACTGAGCTTCTATTTTCAATGAATAACGAGTTTTAGTCGAAAATATGAACCAAATTCATTACAAGAAAAACGCAATATAAGACCGCCACAAATTCTCAAAAACGCATCTCCATTTTCCGTGAGGAATCCTTTATTTTCAGCAGCCATGATTAGGCGAAAGTTGAAGCTTGCTTTCATTGTTATTGCTTCTAATCGAAAAGGATCTTGCAAAACTCAAAATTACACGAAAATCAATTCATCACAAACGAATAGCAAAACTGTTGATTAAAAAAAAAAGAAAAAAAAAACACAAACATCCAATGATTTTGCAAGAATCTTCAAGAAACTAATCTGGAATTAGATGATTTTCATTGAATCTATCTTTACATCCTCGGGAGCTCTTCATCTTCAATTTTCTTGTCGGAACTAGAACAAGAACCATAGGTATATTTTCTTTGATGCAATCAAATTCAATGTAAAACAATACTAATCGATACCTTCGACAATAGATGCAGATGCATAAGATTTAATTTTGAACTTCTAACGACGATGAAATGCCAAAAATTTGTAGATCTGGCAAATAAAGGTGGAGTAGAAAGAAAGAGAAAGGAAAAGAGAAAGAAGCGACACGTTAAAAATAATTTATTCAACGCGATTTTTTGATGGTGCGGCATACGTGCCTGTCCCGGTGTTCCCTAACTTGGGAGGTGCTTTATATTATTTGCCAGTCTAGTTCATTTTAAGGTGAACATGGGTAAGTCTCAGCCTCTCCTCTTTCTTTCTTTTACTGGCCAAACATAGCTTCTAAAATCCTCCCAAAATCCTCGTCCCAAGCCTCTAGGGGAGAAACACTCGACCAGCCTGATGACATGCAATAACTTTCCCTCCAGGTTTTGGTTTTTTTTCCTTAACCTTGATCCCCATGAGACACCATCTCGGAATCCCATTTGCAAGGCCAAAAAATTATCATATGGATGCCTAAAATCCAGTGCTTTTTCTCCCACTTTGATCTACTTTCCAAATGATTCAGATCCTCTCTTAAGGAAAGAATAGGGATTGAAGCCCGAATTCAACAAAATCAGACGGACCGTCACAGAAATAATTTCACGTTTTAAGAGAACAATAACACCCGGCGAAAGCGACAACACCAAATTCAATTATAGTCTAGCTAATCTACAAATGGTTCATATGCTGATTTCCTCCATCCCAGTAAGAAACACTAGTACTCTAAAACAGAAAATGAGGGAAAATGAACCAGAACAAACCTAGACAAATGTCACAGATCCTAATTGTTTATACACCTGGATAATTAGGGATATGACATGTAACTCATTACCAAATACATATACATCAGCTTACAAGCTTCTGGCAACCTTTTCATATAGATCGCGGGGCCAGTTCCTGTTCAAATTGCTTGCAAGGAAGTTTGCAATCTGTGAATCCAGAAAAAGCTCATAAGAAAAAACAAAGATTATCGAAATGGGATCATCACATAGTTATGAACACAGTTATAAACAAAATGGGGTCAGTGCATAGTATAAACCAACAGAAAAAAATAAAAAAAAATTTACTTGTTTGTTTATTCTTGTTAATATGTTTATCCCGATCGTTCTGCAGCTATTCATGAAATAAAATGGAACAATTACAGAGGTAAGAGGAGAACAATACATGAAATTATGAACTTTAGCTCTCTCACATTTTCTAGAAAGCATAAGACTTAAAGCTGAGAGACCTATATCCAGACTGAAGTTTAAATTTTAAGCACCTCACATGTATTTTATTTAAAGTTACCCATAGGTGGGTTGGTGACTTAACAGATTGGTTGGATTTTGGAGGGATTTGACATTCGATCGGTGGATGAAACTCTGCCTGTGTTCTGTTGTGAATACCTTAGGTGAGTACACTAACCTCCATTTCATTTAAAACATTTTCCAACAAGTGAAGCTTGGTTGGTGGAAGAATGAAGTAGGCCATAAGCCAATCTAATTTTAGGGTAACTGAAAAAATTTCCTTTTGTTATGTATAACAAGCTTACCCGCAGGAAGTGGAACTCAATTTATGAAATGTGTCCCAAACTCATGCAGTCAACGAAATGTTAGAATGATTAAAATAAGAAGTCTGAAGATGAGTTGATGTACATTCATGAAGGTAAAAGCAGAGTTACACACATGGCAATTGGTCAAACTACAAGCTCACAACACTGCCAGAGAAAAAGAAACCTAATGCAAAACTGGATGTCTCATGAAGAAGGTAGCCTAAACTAGTCAATTAAACCTAGGCACGAGCTGATTATTCAACCCGGAACACTTGATTTTACAATCTTAACACGTGCAAATCCAATAACGCAACTAGAAAAGAAGCACCAGCAAAATAAGAAAGTATGTAACAAAGGAAACAGCATAAATGTGTAAATAAAAGCAAATCCAGCTCAAGATCTCTACTAAAAGCAACTTAATCAGAGCATTGTACTAGGAAAAGAAATAATCATTCAGAAATTGCACAGCTGCTGTTATACCAAAGCACTTAATGAAGCAAAATTTCACTTCATGTGTTGCAAGGAAATTAAGCAACATAAAACTTCAGTTCAAATTAAAACAAGATGAATGCAGAAATGAAAGGCCAAAATGGAAAAAGTAGGGGGAAAAAAATCAACATACCTTTGTTCTCAAGGTACGGAGTGAACCATCTGTATCTTTGACATTGTCCAAACAGTGAAGAGCAACTCTAATAATGTCAGGTACACAAGCTTGAACATGAATGGACAAGTTATTAAATATGTCAACGGCAAAGTCTGGTGCTCGTGGATCAAGGGGAAGAAATGGTAGTTTTGCCACTTCCCTCAATGTGTCTATATATTGTCCCATCCTAGCCAGCTTATGAACATACAAGACTGCCTCAAGCTGCCTTAAGACAGTCTGCTGCTCCATAACATTCTCTCTCTCTTGAGGACTGCAAAATATAGGAATTTTATTAGAGTATTAGTCACAAACTGAGAAGAAATATTCAGAAGTAGCAAGATGCAAAGCCAAATCAATCCTAGCTTGTTTAGTGTAATAATTGAATTCAGAAAACAGGAAGAAAAAAGAACTATTAAAAAAAAGCATAAAAAGAGATGGAGTTAAAAGGATATACATCATCAGTTAGCAGTAATAAAAAAATAAAATAATTAAAAAAAATCTTGAAAAGCATCTCTCAATCAGGGATCTTAAAACACAACAGAAATCACACGATTTATGCTCTCAGTGGTGCGGGACAGTCATACAAAAATCCACAGGTTAACAGTGCCAAAGAAGAAGAATATGTGACGACTTTGAATTGATCGAAATGAGATAAGATGGTTGACTATCACAATACCTGATCTCGAGATGATATTTAAATGCCTCTAAAATTTCGTTTCCAGAATGAATGAGCCCTAAAGTCCTGCTCTCACCATCCAATCTACCACGTGTTAGGGAACAAATTGCTTCTGAAAGGCACCTGTTCACTGTATCCAGAGCTCCAGCAAATGCTCCAACTCTTTTTTGTATTTCAATGGACTGGATCAATGCATTGACACAAAAAGGCAAGCAGAAAAATTTGTTGGTCAACAATGGGAAATTATTGACAGGTAATCAGAACACCAAGATCAAAGTTTCAGATTGAAAAGGCACAGAAACAAACTAGTAGCGCTATATGTAGTTAGTGATAACGTGTTAAACGAGCTAATGACTAAGGTGTGTAGAAATTGATTCATGTATCCTGCACAAGATACCTTTTAAACTTGAAGAAAGATGGAAAGCAAACAAAGCAGTTTATAACAGAGGAAAACTGAAGCTTTGACGTTCAGTTATGGGAGTGTCTGATCACGGAGGACAATTGTATCAAAACGACATAGCAGAGACGTCCATCGAAGAATAATGCACAAAATACTCTAGTAGAGAGCATTAAAATGAAGAACATTAAAATTCAATACAGTAAAAGTAAATGAGGTTGGCAACATGAGCTTCTCAAATACAGTAAAACAATCATGAATACGTAAAAATTAAGCTTTAACTAATCTCTTGAATTGATTTATTGTTAAAGTGGACTAGTGCCACCTTAAACAACTTAACCTTTAACTTTCCTCTCCTTAATTTTTGGTTCACATTTTTTTTCAAATATGCTTAGAACAAAACCACTACCGTTCATGTTCTATTAAAAAAACACATTTCCTACAAGTTGCTCCACAAATAGAACAACCGTGAAACCACAATAACCTCCATCGACTTCCTAGTACTATCTCTTTCAATTATCCCAAACTTTACACATTAAAGTATCCAAAAGCAGTGACTCTATCACTGACAAATTCTGTTTGCTTGGAGACATAAAATCCAACACAGATTTTACTTGATAATTTTTTTGAAACTTATAATTTATTTTTAAGGCCTTCCTCCGGTTAGCGATAACTCTATCACAGTCTGCAATTCTTAACCCCCTTATAAAGATGAGATACCCAGATTCCACCACCGAACATAAAATTTATTTCATAAAACGAGGAACTTCCTAGCCTGCAGAGAAAGTTGCATAATAAACTGTAATCCAAAAGATGCAACAAATATTTTTGCTAAGCTACTTAATCTAACTCCTCATCTAATCCAAGTCTGAGACTAGCTTGTAAAATGAAGGCAAAGTCACCTACTCACCCTACCCTAGTACCAAATACTTTAGAAATACGTCGAGTAGAATTTTTTTCAGACCCATCTCCATTAACTCCAACCATGAAACAAAATGTAAGTGGACGTTGAGACAAAAAACAAAATAACTTGAGACCATGTTTTTTCATTGGGTACCTACTCGCCCTTCCAAATCTTCCTCTGGATTCAATCCGTAGTAGGTCATTATAATGTAAAAACACAGTGATTTATGAATCCCAAACCAGAGAAAGAGGAAGAAGCATAGCTATGCCATTCTATTAGGCATGCATGTACTATACTATCATACATATTTAGGATCATCAAAGTTGTAGAACAGAGGATACGTATTAAAACAATTTAAATAAGAGATATAAAAGATAAGCCTTGAAAGCAAACAGAAATAGGAGTCTTTGGTACAATGGAAGTTTGAAACGGTCATCAGGGCTTGCATGAAACAAAACTTTTAGTAGTAGTGGTAGTGCCCCTTGTCCACAGAGACACTGGCCATGAACTTTATAATAATTTTGTTCTTTACATTTAGTGTAACAAACATTTTGAAAGTGCACAAATTAATAAGATGTATATAGCGGGCGGATGGTTAGGTAACCGGGTGTTGGGGGGGAAGAGAGGGGGGGGTGCTGTTGTTGTTACGATCAGGTCAACGTTTCGACTCTCGCAGGAAAATATATTTAAGAAAAAAGAAAGAAAAAAGAACAATTCGACTCTCAGCTGAAAAAACGCATGTCAAAAATAATAATAATAAAATATAGTTGAAATGCTCTGCATACCATCTAAAAATGTAAAACAAAATGACCAACAAGCCTGTTATTTGAAGCAGCAAAATGTCCAGCCACAGAAAGAAGCAAGGAGAGAATATTACCTTGTCATACAAAGAAGTCACCTGACACTGGTGAGCTGCTTCCAACAAAAATTGTTGCCTTGTCTTTCCATCTGGAAAAAACCTTCCCAATTGACCTTCTTCCCCAGTACCCCGGGGTCCAAGTAGAATATTTACACCACTATCATGTAACAGAAGCTCAACTAGAAGCTGCTTCAACATCAAGGACTTTTGACGTTGCTGATCCATGTTACCTCTACCCGTCCATGATAACTCCCCACCGCCAACTGCAGCAGCAGCCTGAGCATAATATTCAAGTGCCATTGGTAGATCCCCATTGCGTAAATAAGCATATCCATACTGCCTAATTATGCTAGATGCCTCCGCATAAGCATCCATCATTCCAAATTTGTGCACAGCCCTAGCACCTTCGAAGAGGACTCCAAGATCTGCTAAAGCTATACACATGTGGACAGAATCAATGCTGTATCCTTCATCTCCAGTATCCTTGTACAAGTACTGGACCGCCGGAAGCAGCTGAATACTTAAGAGTAATACATAGGGATACACAAGAGGATCTTTTCCATTCTTTGTATAATATGAAGGTTCAAACTTATTCAAATACATCTGTAAGTCGGCCAATGTGTAGGGAGAGAATCCCTCACTAAGAACAACAGATGAACCATCAGGGGACTCTCGTATTGCAGATAACTTGAACCACAGGAAATCCTCTATGGTACTGAAAAGTGTAGGTTGTTCTCGAAGTAGCCGGTCGATGATACGGTGAGAACCAGATATCATTGCATAAAGGATTAACTTTTTCTTATCATATGAAGCTCGGCCTGCTCTATCACCAGCCCTTAATGATTTTTCACACTCTTCAGAAGCAGTAGCAACAGTCTTCGGTGACACCATACCTCCAGTGGCTATCCATTCCACAAGCTGTCATGGATGAAGGATTGATTAAGAAAATAAACAGAAAGATATAGCAATTGACTGGCATATGATGTACCTACCAGAGGAGCAAAGTGCTGCGCAACTCGGCATGATCGGGCAACCTCTTGTGCTTTATCATAGTACCCAGTTCGCAAGCAAAAGTATATCTGTTCCACAGGCAACAGAGAAAACTGAGCAAAAACTATTAAGCTACAACACATTTAAATAACCAGTTGTTTGGAAAGTATTTCCATCATATCAACATCTCAAGCTAAGAAAGGCCATCCCACAGAACATAAAACATGTGCTTACAGACAAAACCAGCAAAAACATTTCGAACTCCTCGAATCAATGTTTATTGAACACATAAAATGGATGACTAACTCAAGTCAGAAGTTCAATAAGATTCTGAAAGCTCTAGAATTCATACAAATTCCACATAAGGTAATGTCTCTCAAGCTAAGAAAAGGCCACCCTAGAGAACATAAAATATGTGCTTCAGACAAAGCCAGAAAAAAGGTTTCGAATTCCTATAATTGATGTTTATCAAACTCATACAAAATGGATGACTAAATCAACTCAGAAGTTCAGTAAGGTTCCCAAAGATATACAATTCATACAAATTCCACATAAGGTAATCCCAAGACGCTACTTTTTCCAATTAATCATTTTGCCTGCGCAAGATATAACAAATATGATTAGATGGACAGACCTGAATACACAACCAAAAAAAAAAAAAAAAACCATATGCTCTAATCACTTCGATTACAATTGAACGCCAATCAGAAGATTTGTGGAGGAAAATAACAAGAAGAAACTTCTGATAACCTGCTGCCAAGTAGTATCAATAGGAGGTTGCCTACGACCATCATCAACATCAAAATCAAGAACACCATAATCCCGCAAACGGATCTGCACACAACACAATGTAAATCATTGAGGTCCACTTCCATGAAAATAGAAATCCTGAAATACAACAAGTTGCAGTGTCCGTATAATTAAATCAATACAAAGTCCACAAACCCTAAGGAAAGCTCGGATGCGCTGCAAATTATCAACAGCACCACCCAGTGCAGCCTGAAACAAAAATGACACAGAAAAGAGCACATTGTCATGCCAGAGTTATCACTTCTTTATTTTCTTTAACGAGGATAACTATCAATCCTCAATTGTCACTTATCACATGAAAACACAAATGAACATTTCTAAACCATCACAAAGATTGAGACACCAATGACACAGCGTAGATTGAAAGTATTTTTCTGGTATTTATTGCATTTGAAGAGGAGAATTTATATAACACACGAGAGAACAAGAATTCCACATGGCTGCTATTCAGGGGCCTTACCAAGAATATAGCAAAAAAATAACCATTCAAGATATGATCAACAGCCAAGTCCAATATCGATTCCATAACAATCTATGCCACCGAATATCGAAACATGGACTTCTCAACACATTCAGTTACAGGGGCGGAGCTACGTTATAGTGAGGTGGGGCAGTTGCTCCAGCTTAAAATTTTGAAATTAACCTTAATATACTGGAATTTAAAGATTATCAAAGAATTGCCCCACCTAAAACAATACAAGTGAGGGGCAATTTAAAGAACTTAATTTCTAAAAGGTAATTTATTAGGAGTCCATCGGCGGTGTTACTGGCCGGAGAAACCACTGTGCTGCGGATGTGAAGTTTGTTCAGGGTCTCTTGAACGGTTGACTATTATGAGGAAGAAGAAGAAGATAAAATCCATTGTTTGTTTAAACTTTTAACTCAAGGACTAATTAATTGTAGTTGGGCTTGTTTTTTCTAATTTGGGGCTTAAAAAAAAAGAGTTTTGACACGAAAGGTAAAAGTGACCAACAAAAAATAAATAAATAAATAAAGCTAAATTGATTTGTTTCTAGGTAAGGCCACTTAGTGTTTTTGCTTTCATTATTATTACGTGTTGTTCAATAGTGTTCTTGAACTTTTTTTAATAAAATTGATAGATTCAAACAGCATGATGCATGATTCATGATGTAGTGTTTCTTTTTCGTTCATTTTATCTGGAATTTCTGTTACTTTGACATTGAGATTTTTTTGCTCGATAAAAATTTCATTTCATTTTTTTTTACGTTTGGATTGTTTTTTTTCCAGTGTGTAATTTGAAGCATTTTTTCTATTCAGAATGTAAAAAGTGTATAAGAAATGTAAAAAGATATTCTAGGACAGAACATTAATTAATAAAAAATTGTAAAAACAAAAAACCATAAGAAATGAACCAAACATAAAACTTTTCTTTATACTTGCTCCGCCCCAAAATTAATTTTGGGATAGAAGGAGTAATATTTAACCTTTGAAGGAGAACCAAAACTCAGTCCTCACACCACACTGATTAGGAGAGAGAATAGGAAAGAGCTTGTCACAAACCGAAGGGGCCAAAATTCAGGATAGTGATTGTGAGTATAAAACCTAATATGAAGGTAAAAAAAAAAATAGTTTACTTTGCCACAGGTGACCGTTGGGGCTTGGCTCCGCCCCTGTTTAGTTATCTATAACTAATGAAACCATGAAGCAAATGAATTAAGAAATACAGAGAATCAGCTAACCCCAGCATTTATAGTGTCCCTGGTCAAGTATCAGAGTCTTTTCCCAATACCCCACGTCTTAAACTTAGAAAATCAAGGAGTAAACACAGAAAAACCCGGGCCCAACAGCCAACCCGGATCTTGATTACATTTTTTCTCCGGCAGATCTTAAAGTTTGAATAATTCTTTCATAATAAGGATATTTGAGTATTTGTAATTTGTGAGTAAATCACTTACTTCATCCTCAATACAGAGCATAGTGGGATCATTAGCTAAGGACAAAAACGAAATAAAGCATCAGAATTGTCACTTACTTGGGCAGGATGACTCTGTATTGTATCAAGCACATATTTTTCATGTCCCCATTCAAGGTGATGCCTCGCACCAATCACCAACGACATTTTTCTAGAAACTTTTGGCAGTTGAGTTGAATCCTCACTCAGCATCTGTCCAGTTAGTCAACATAAGATTAAATGTGGACAATAACGAACCTTGATCAGTAGCCAAGCACAAAATGTCAAAGACATTCACAGAATTAGTATCATACTTATAACTGAGAAACTGAAATCTTGGTTTTAATTTGATATAGAACGGAATAACACAAAGTTCAACAGTATCATACTTATAACTGAGAAACTGAAATCTTGGTTTTAATTTGATATAGAACGGAATAACACAAAGTTCAACATTGTAGATCCTGACCAGAAGAAGATGCCATATTTTCTGCATACCAACAGATTTCCCACCAGATCCATCGATAGCCAGACCATCATATGCCTGCTTGAATGCTGCAGCAGGCTAACAATGAAGAGGATATATTAATCTAAATGCAACAACGGAGGGGGAACAAAAAGAATTTACAAGATAAAAATAAAAAATAAAAAAAAAACAAACACGTATGGGACAATTACAGACATTCAAGGAAAATGAGAACGGGGATTTTAGGCCATCACTAAAAGTGATGGAAGTCCCGCTGTCTCAATGAAACAAAGAAAAAGACAATGATGCCAAAACAAACTTATGCTGCATCCTCACTTTGAAAGGAGACCCATGCTCTCTGGCGCTGTTAAGATCCTTCACAACTTCTCCATAGGCTGCAGCTTTTTTTTCTGCGATGGCCTTAGTAGCCAATGGCGCAAGCTCCATGCTAGATGGACCAGGTGAAACATGAGGGCTAGAAGTTGCGGCAATTATTTGACCTTCATGGGAAGATTTACTATTTGAATCAGCAACATTTGTCCTAGGCAACCTAGAAATCTGACTAAGACTTTGAAGGAAGTCCCGTTTTTCCTTCCGCCAGTCTTCCTGTAACCAAGATATATGAGAAACAAGTTAAAATTCACTAACGAATAAGGTTTAGACGCAACTATGACAATGTTGGATCAAATTATGCCAATGTTGGATCAAATTATGCCAATGTTGGATCAAAAGCTAACAGATTAATCCCACTGAGAGCCTAATCCCAGCTATATGGAGCAAACATGGTATGTTTTGTTTTCCATGATACACCATCGATAGGCAGAGAAATCACCTCTAGAACTGTCATCATACAGTCACTGAAACTTCTAAGGTTATCCTTCTGAGCCTCCTGTACAGCAGACACCATTGCCATTTCATGGACCTAAGATACACAAAGGTGAACAACATAAGAAATCTCCAGAGATTGTGAATACATTAATTAAGGAGAAATAGCACAAAAAGATTTGGGGAATCATCAAAACGTTCGATCTAAAAGTAAAACTCTGCAACCCCCCAACAAAAAAAATAAATAAATAAATAAATAAACATTGTTGCCAAAATTGGACACCTCATGCCATCGACAGTGATAGATGTGAATCAACCAATGGAAAAGAAGATCAAGGTCATTTCACTAACTAATCAATAAGAAGTCTAATTGAAGTTCTGTATCACTTCTTGTGACTGAAGCTAGACTGACAAAACCAGCAATAACTGACAACCAAAAACAATTCAACTAAATATCCATAGGCTGTTAGATATTCAGTTTTGCAAACCTCAACAGGGCTTGGCCCCTCCATAGCTAGCTCTTGAAGTACCCGAACCACCAAAAGTAGACAAAATACCAATACTTTCTAATCCTTCAACCTTGTACCCATGCCTACATAAGAACTAAAATTATGTTTACAAACTCCAGTTACACTGGTTCAGCTCTCCTCGTATCCAAGTACAATCCAGGTATGAAACAATGGGAATACTTTCTTTTCTCTAAAGTCAATGTAGACAGTTTATTTTGTATTTATTTAAGAATAATAATCCTTCCACAATCCGATCCAAAATCCAGATTTCTCTATTTTCAGCGCAAAGGTGTTTTACAAGGAGGTGGAAGCGAAAAACCGCATTAAACCATTACACACTGACAAAACAAGAACTAAAGAGGAATGGAAGACCCAACATAGTCGGGAGCATTTGAGTTCAGGATTACAGAGGAGTAATGAGAAATAAACTAATATGCATACAACTCAACACACAATCAACAGTTTCAGGATTCACTTGACTCAGTTGACTGTCCAGCAGCCAAATGACACTATAACACAACATCTATAGCCACTCTACATTCCAGGAGGAAGGGTTCATGATATGCCTTTACAGCTACTATGTTCCAGGAGAAAGGGTTCGTGCAATGAATCTATTATTATAACCAGCAACAAAAGCAATTAAAGGAGAAGAGGATTCATCAAAAGTTGGACAGAATCTTGGGAGACAGGTTTCTTCATTACTGTCAACTCTTACATTATCCTTGTAATCAGAGTCAGGGAAATGAGGAGTAGTTTCCGTAACAAGAAGAAGCCTTTTCCCACTAGGTGGGGTTGGCAATATGGATCATATGTCGCCGTAGTGCTTGATCAAAACACAATTCGTCAAATTTAAATATTTCAAGTCATCTTTTGTAGTTACTTTCGAAGTATTTTTAGGTCTACCCCTACCTCTCCTTATTTGAATACTTGATTCAACAGTTTCAACCCTCCTAATCGGGGCATTCACCGGTCTCCAACGCACATGCCCAAACCATCTTAAGTGAGAAGGAATTCAAAGGACAGGAATACTGCTGTATATTTTTCCAAATAGTCCAAACAAACAATGGAAATGGTTTCACCTGTTGCAAATATTCTTCAACCGTTGTTGCTTCAGCTGGAAATACATCTTCAAATGTTGTCTGGGTGAAGTGACGACAACAAAAAAAAACGTAAATAACTTAAACGAAATAAAGATTTCGCTTCAAAACTAAAATGAAGAAGAATAGAAGGAGAGTAAATCATGCATCTGAAAAGAAACTAGATGCAGATTCTCCAATCGAAAATGGTCTAATTTCTTTGAGAGGTGAAACTATATCTAAACAACAGAAAGTGAGAAAAAAAATTTTCTCATAGTTAACCAGAAAATAAAATAATGATCCTTTTTAGATCATTTGTGCATAGGAAATTGGGCAGCATCAAGGTACCCAACAGCTTCCAATACCTATCATATAACAGAATTCCAGAAAAATTTGAGTTATCCTAGAAAACATTAGGGATTGGTGCAATTAAGTCCATATATACAATATCCACATGCCATATTTTCTACATCTTCTGATTTTGAATTGACAAGCAAGGGAATGATACAAGAACAGGAGGCAAGGATGATAAACCGACTTTCTTTTTCCAATATCCTTGTTCCCAGTAATTACAGTCATCCCCGTAACTGATACCAGACAACAATTTTTCAAATGTGCAGATACTGTAAAATTTTTGTCTCAACTATCTGTTCTATCAATGGGCCCAATTATAATTATAGCACTTTATTTAACCCTTCAACTATCTGTTCTATCCATTGGCCAAATTATAATTTTAGCAATATTTAACCATCCACTCAAATAACTGGGAATCCTACCTTCAACTCAAAGGACTTGAGATCGCGAGCGAGCTGCTCCGCATTAATTCCTTCTCGCGCTAATAACCTTGGGACGGAACCAAAAGAAAAATAGAAAAACCATGAACGATGAAATTACTTTCAACAAAACCATAATGACTCTTTAATAACTAAGAAATACCTAGTTGCAGCAATAGACTGCGAAGGAGCTTCAATTCTTAAGGTTTTGGCTTTAAGCTTCTTGGACAATACCTCCAACTGCTCCAAATTTCTCTGCAAATTCCAAACAAAACCCAACCGAAGTTAGATTCTGACTCGCTAACGCTTCCTCATCGATTTCGAATACATTGAAACGGCAACACAAATCGTTAATCGAAAGAGCAAGGAGAAAAAGAATTTAAAGTATTTGAACCTGAATAGGAGGGAACTGGGCGGAAGGGGCGGCTTGTTCGAGAAGCTTGGAAGACGAATGCAGAAGATCATTCCAACTGCTCATGTCTGCATCATTCGCCATTGTAACGGAGAAAAAGATTTTTCTTTCCCAGGTGTATTTTGGAGCAACAGAGAGAGAAAGAGAGAGAAAGAGAGTACGCTGTCCCCGGTTCGTAGCAGGGTTTTAATGGTTTATTGGTTCATTTGTAAAGCCCTAAATTGGAGCCGGTAAAAAGTTTAAGATGGGGGGTTATACTCTTATGCAAACAGCCTCACAAAGGTTTGCTGTGGCTCTTGGTTCATTTGTAAAGCCCTAAATTGGGCGGGTAAAAAGTTTAAGATGGGAGGTTATGCCCTGACCAATTACCCAATTTCGCCACCAACATAATCATTCGATTCTAAACCACGTTTCTGATCATTTTCAATTTTAATTCCTTTGGATCTTGTTGATTTCAATTTACTTCTCCAAATTTCCAAGTTTCCCACAAACTTCGTAAATCTCTGTACTTACATAATCATTAGTTTTTCTCATCAAGGCTGTCAAAAGTTTACTTTTGAATGGTGCAGATTCTGATACATCGAAATTCAGAGGAGTTGCAGAAGACGGTTCTGAAGAATAGCTCATCTCCAGGTGGTGATGACATTTGGCATATTTCCAATCGGAGTATTTGGAACAAACTGAGTCTATCGATGCAGATCTAGGGGTGAATAGGGGGTATTATCATCATTAAAAGCTTTTCTAGGTGGTATTCATTCACTCAGATTTGACAAGACGGCGTCCTTTTAGATTTTTCAATTATCACAATTATCGAAATGGTGGCTCCTTGTTGTTTCCGGTCAAGTATGAAAAATAAAGGTGCTGGGAAGGACATCTACAAAGCCAGACCTCCAGGGAAGCAAAAATCAGCAAACAGTTTTTCTCCAAGTTTCCTTTCTTCGTCTCTTTCACAAAGTTCAGATATGGAATACTTGTATTCAGAGCAATCATCTCCTGAGATGGCCGGAGAGGGGAACAAGGTGGGCAGATCTTCAACTGATAGTAATTCAATAGCAAGAAGGTAGCGGCTGCATCAAGTGTATTGCTCTCACTGGCGTGGGCTCAGATATTCGCTTTGTTTGGAAAAGGTGCAAGCTTGAATTAACCAACATAAGAACTGCCTCCTGGTGTATTTGTTTGATGATAGAAACTATAGTTGGGAGAACATGCAGGCATATATTCGCAATAATTGGGACGGGCAGGCTCTGGTTCACAAAGTGAAGAATTTCTTCGTCTTTAAATTCAAGTCTAGGGAGGTACTTAAGATGATGTTATAACAGTCCTTTTACTGTTGATGGTGGGCTTTTGGTCTTAAGTAGATGGTATCCAAATACGGATCTAGAACACTTACAAATTGAGCGGATCTCTATTGGTATCTGACTGTATGGCCTCCCAGTCGAGTTTGTTAGTAGACCACTTGCAACTAACATGGCCAGTATGATTGGGGATCCCTTGGCTGTCAGAGCAAGTGAGATTGACGCAAGGAAGGCCACTTACATGAGAGCTAAAGTGGCAAGCAAGCCATATGATCCGTTAGCTTCTGGTTTTTATCTGGATTTGTGCAATGGAGACAGTGTTTGGGTTAAGTGCAGTTATGACAGAATATACAAATTCTGTCAGAGGTGTGGATTGATTGGTCATGTCATAGAAAACTGTCACATTGATCCCAATGATGAGCTGGAATAGTACTTGGATGCGAGTTTCGGCTTGGCTAGTGCAGAGAAGAATTTGGTGTATGGAAGGGGTGAGCATAACAACCTTTTCCCATTGTATATGAGGGTGACTGAAGGGCAAACCAATAAGAAGACTACTCGTATTTCGCCGGAGTATATTAACAAACACTTTCATGTATTCCAGGGGATACGAGAGGAGGAGATACTTGATGGTTTTGTCTACAGCAACCGAGTGGATAATAATGCTCGAGATTCAGCCCCGATTTCCTTTGATCTGGAGTTGGTTAAAAATCAGCGCATGTATGCTATTCAACGATGGGTCATGATCTAGGTAGTGAAGATGGTATGCAAATCGATTCACCCGAGTTGATGAAGACGGGCCAAGCTGGTGCTTGTGGGGGATTTGACCGGAATTGTGGCCCATCGGCGACAGCAGCACCAGGCAGACATTCTCCGAGAGTGTGGGGAGCACAAGGTAAGGTGTGTGCTAATGTTATTCGCAATATTTATATCAGAGAGGGAGGACACTTGTCGGAAATAAGATTCTAGGTAGACGTGTAAGTTACCCATCCTGTCTAACAGGCAACAAACAGATTGGGGGTCTAAGGCATCCGATATAAGTAAAGCATACGATAGAGTGTCGTGGTCCTTTCTAGAAGAAGTGATGAATAGATTGGGTTTCCCAGCATCTTTTGTTAGCTTGGTATTGAGGTGTGTTACGACAGTCACCTTGTCAACATGTGTAAATATCCACCAGTCTGATTATTTTACTCCACCGAGAGGGTTGCGCCAAGGATGCCCCATATCTCCGTACCTCTTCATCATTTGTCAACAGGTTTTATCTATGGCTCTGTTGAATCTGGATCGAAACGGGAGGGGTTTCGGGATAAAAATGGGAACAGCCACCCCCAGGCTAACACAACTGATGTATGCGGATGATTGCCTGGTTTTTATGAAAGCCACGCGACAAAATGTAAGAGCTCTGGAGAGCATTTTGGACCAGTATACTTGGGCGTCAGGTCAGAAAATTAATTGTGGCAAATCATCTATCCTGGTAAGTCTAAACACGGGTCCTGCTTTTAAGGAATGGATGTCTTCGTGGCTCAGGATTCCAATTAGAAGCTGCCAGCAAAGATATTTGGTTTTGCCATTGGATTTCATGAAAAAGAAGTCACTTCTTTTTAGGGACATTGTAGAGAGAATGAAGAAGAAGCTGAGCATGTGGAAGAACAAAACATTGTCTATGCCCGGTAGGATAACTCTAGTAAAACATTCCCTGGCTACTCTTCTGATATACATGATGGGAGCCTTCAAACTCTTGCGAGGCATCACAAAACAAATTGACCAGGTGGCTACTAGATTTATTTGGAATGGGGATAAAGAGGGCTGAGGAATTCATTGAAAAGCCTGGAATCATCTTTGTAAATCGAAACGACATGGTGGTTTGGGTTTTAGGACAGCACAGGAAATGAATCAAGCATTGTTGGCAAAAATGGCATGGAGAATTGTGGTGGAAAAGCATTCATTGTTTGCGCGCATCTTTTTGGCAAAGTACGGGAAGGGTAAGGATTTCTTGGATTGCCCAACACCAAAGAATGCGTCATGGGGATGGCGTAGCATCCTTTGGGGAAGGGAGCTGCTTAAGCCAGGATTAAAATGGCAAGTTCAAAACAGGGAAAGTATACAAATCCAGGATGATTGGATCCCAGATTCAGGAAACCCATTAATTGGTGTCCCCCTTCCCCAAGACCTAGGGAACTTAAAAGTGAGAGACTTGTGGGATCACAATAGAGACTAGAAAGTATCATTGGTCAGGTCAATCTTTCCACCAGATGTAGCAGCAAATATATTGCGCATATATGTCCCAAAAGGCCATGTGTTACCGGAAGATCATAGATGTGGACTGGAACATCCTCTGGAATTTATGCAGTCAAGAGTGGTTATCATGCGGCACGGCAAGCTCAGGTTATGAATCAGCCCCCGTTGGAGGATATGAACTCGTTGGCTTGGAAGTGTTTCTGGTAAATAAAGGTACCAGCGAAGATTTAGTGGCTTATGTGGAGGATTGTAAATCATGCACTGTCGTCAAGCACAGCTTTACATCGGCGAAAGATCTTATCTTTGACAACGTGTACCAGATGTAAACTACAAGAGGAAAACACACAGCACATATTTTTTGACTATGAACATTCAAAAAGAGTGTGGCGGGTGTGTCCTTTAGGCTTTGACTTCGATAGAGGTACGAGAACTTCCTTGGTGAAGTGGATGGAAACGTGGTTGGAGATAGCCCCGGACAAGAAAGCTATACAACTCTCTTTCTTTGTTATCTAGCAGATATAGATGGCAAAGAATATGGCTGTATGGGAAGGTCAGTTGTTGGATCCACACCGAGTGCAGATCATGGCAGTTTTGTGATAGCAATCCGTGACAAAACCAATCTTTAAGGAAAGATCAACTTTGCTAAATCGGAAAGACAGAGTTTTGTAAGCAGCGGAATTTGGAGAATTCGAATTTAAAGACTAAAAAACACACGAAAACAAAGAAAAAAGAAAAGATATTTGATCTCATGTGGATCAATTCACGAGTTCAATGGTACAACAACCCAAATCAAGAATGAAGAGAGCTATTTCTAACCAAGCAGAGACCCCTTGGAAAATTGTGTAGGAAAACCCAATAGATATGAGATCTATCAGCTCAAATACCAAGATTCGAAAGATCCAATGCTAAAGACGCCACTATCAAGTGAACTAAACAAGATAGATAAGTCTAACAATTGTCACAACACATATGCAACAACTAAACAAAGAAATCCTCACAGGAACTCCACGAAAGGAATAAAAATCCAAACCAATTTCACTCAGGAAAATTTTCAATGACACAAGGTGTGTTGGACAAGAGAATTTCGGTCCCTATATATAGAGGGGGTGGCCGAAATTTCTTCCCAAGAAGTAAAGGAAGAACACAACTCTTCACCTCTATTCCTATCTCTAAGAATTTGAAATGAAATCAAACTCTAAAGACTCCTAGTTATCTTAAGTGATAAGATAACGAACCTAGACACTTTTACTAGTCTTAAAACATTTATGACTTGTAGGAATTAATTAAAACTCAAAATACAAAGAGATAATCTCTTAGAAAGATTCCAATAGATAGAATCTCCCTTGAGTTAAAACTCTATCATCATCTTCTTTGTAGAGTAATCATAGCCATCCATCTTGATGTAGTCTTCATCCAACGGTTGAGTAGACATCAAAAGTTGACTCCTTATTGTAGGAACACTCAAAAATAAGATAAAAAGAATCATCCCAAATATTATCCTTTAAAGAGATAAAAGTCTTATCTTTCAAAGAGATAAAATTTGAATGATCTCACCCTTAAACTTTAGGGATCAATTCGACCAACATGAGGGTGTGGCCGGCGGTCCTTCATGGATTGAGGGCCAAAAATTCTTCTCTCCAAATGGGCCAAGTCCATTTGGTGTCACTTGCAACAAATTAATAGTCTTGGGCTTGTAATCTTCAAGCTTAATTTCCTCCTTAGCCCATGTAGTAGTAATTAGACTATTAAGTGATTCATTCATCCTCTTGCGTCTAGCACGAGTCATTGA